TAGGCTATGCCACCTGGCCACAGGCCATCGAGTCCGCTAAAGCATAGCCTACACCTCTCCCCACTTCACCTTTTTTCACCTCCAACAGACAGGCCATCGGGTCCGACGAATACATAGCCTAGACTCCTCTTCACCTCACCCCCACCTCAACTGTTCCAGAACCCGCATTTAATATCTACTGGGGAGGTGAAATTTCAAGCCCTCGGGTCCAGCTAATGCAATTTAATTTAAACGAATTAAAGAACGGCTGGAGTTGGGAAATGAATTGGACCTTGAAGGAAGCGTTACGGACAAGGTCAACTTAGACCTGTCAATGGCCGAATTAACATTAAAAAATACTAAAGATACAAGTCCGAGTAGTGACAATATTCCAAATGCAGTATAAGGAGTCTACCCGCTCCCGCTAAAATGAAACTATTAGAATTTTACAACGAGATATGGAGAGCGGGTGAATACCCGGACAGCTGGAAAGAGGCCATCGTGGTGCCGATCCTAAAGAAGGAAAAGATCCAAGCGCTCCCAGCAGCTATAGACCCATATCGCTGATGACATACCTGGGAAAGATAAAGTATGATAAACAGACGGCTGGTGTGGTACCTGGAAGCAAAAGGATTATTTAGTTCAACCAGGCGGGGTTCATGAGAGGTCACTCAGCCGTCGACCAGGCCGGCCTTCTTGAGACCGCGATACAGGATGCATTCCTTAGAAGACAGCATTGTGTCGCGGTCTTCTTCGATCTAGAGAAGGCCTACGATACAACCTGGCGATATGGTATTGTGAAAAAATGTCATGACTGGGGGCTACGGGGGAGAATCCTTAAATTAATAAACACTTTTTTGGAAAGCCGACGATTTAAGGTTAAAATTGGAGCAATGACATCGGACGACCGTCGTAGGAGAATGGAATCCCCCAAGGATCGGTACTTTCTGTAACGTTATTTGCGATCGCAGTAAACAATATAGCAGATAAATTGGAAGCTCTGCTGCTAAAGGCTTTGTATGTCGACGACTTGGCAATCTTTTGCAGCGGAGACGATATCAATGAAATAATTCGAAAAGTACAAGAAGGGATCGATGTGGTGGTCAGAGAGGCTGAGGGCAACGGATACACATTTTCGAGGGCGAAAACAAAAGCAGTACACTTCTGCAGACTGAGGAGGGAACAACCTCCTCTTACGCTAAAAGGAACGGCCATCGAGTATGTGAGCAGTATAAGATACCTCGGCCTCATTTTTAATGAAAAACTGAGGATGGCAGCACCACATCGACCATACTGCGGTCCAGAGTAAAAAGGTCCTAAATTTAATGAAATTGCTAAATAATTTTCGATGGGGAGCAACGAGGAAAATATTAATTAACGTATTTAAATCGCTGTTGTGTACAAAATTAAATTACGGATGCATGGTGTTCTACTCAGCAAGGAAAAGCAGATTGCAGAAATTAGATAGAGGATATATCATTGGTATACGGATTGCTGCTGGGGCTTTCCAAACAAGCCCCGTCAGCAGTTTATGTGTGGAGGGTGGAGTACTGCCCCCGATGGAAAAGAGGAACCAGCTGATGGTGAATTACAGTGGAAGTATATGGGGCAGGCAATCCCATTTTCTCCACACAATACTGTTTGATGAGGAAAAAGCCGAGGAGTATGGGCGGCTGAGAATCCGTACGAGACCGATAGGAGTTAGATTAAAAGAATTAATGGTCTCGACGATAGTACAATTAGATAAAATAATCCCGGTTACTGAGGCCAAAACGGAACTGTGGATGCTCCCCTCGCCAACCATACGGGTCGATATGGCGATGAAGAAGAAAGAAGAGACCCCCCTCTCAAGTTTACAAAGCTATGTTCCTCTGCATCAAAAAGAAACTGGTAGGTGTGAGATATTTATATACTGATGGTTCAAAAAGCATCAATGGGGTCAGCTGTGCCGTATATACGGGGGAGAATACTAAGAAAGCCTTTCTCTCAAGGACGGCTAGCATACTCACAGCAGAGATGTATGCCATATTGTCAGCGCTGGGAGAGATCAAACGTATGGGGAAAGGAAAATTTGTGATATGTACAGATTCGCTCAGCGCTGTCTCTGCTGTCCAGAATAAATTCTCTGTCGACCCACTAGTTAGATTATTCTATGAGCAATTAAATGGCATACAAGTTAATGGAAGTGAGATTGTTATCCTATGGATTCCGGGTCACGTCGGCCTCAAAGGAAATGAGGAGGCCAACAAGGCGGCTAAGGAAGCGGCGGAGATGCCTATTGACCTGGATATCCCAATCAGTCCAGCGGATGTCAAAAACTATTTAAGAAGAACAAGCTGGGACAACTGGCAAACCCGTTGGAATGGGATGACCAAAAAGCTAAACCCGATTAAGCCGAATGTTAAGCCGTCGGTCTCGGGATAAAAGAAAAGCCATCATCCTAACAAGACTGAGAATATGCCACACCAGGTTAACACATGGACACCTTCTTATTGGAAAGAGACCCCGTAGGTCCCCCTTATGTGGCGCTAGGATGACAGTACAACACCTGATAGAAGAATGCATCAGCCTACTGTGACAGGTGTGGCCTTCCAGCAGAAATGATTAGAGTATTAAAACACAACAGCAAGTATACTGATAACCTCATTCCGTATCTGAAGAGGATAATATATACAATCAAATCTAGCTCTCTTCACATGTGGTTCTTTTTTATCTTGCTTTGGTGTGAATGTATTTATTTGTGAGAATGGTTTTGTCTAAGGAAGTCGGACCTGTGGCAGAATATAGAGTACCCCACAGACAAACCACATTTAGGTTTAGTTTAGTTGTAGGGAATTGTATGAGTGAGAGGTGAGGCAGCGGCGTTTATTGTGGGTCTTTGTAAGGAATGATTATATTCTGTCTTTTGAGGTTTGATTAACCCCCTTAAGGCCAGTGATCTGCCTCAAAATCAAAGGAATTTTATTTGGAAATAAATTAGAAACACAATTGCGGAGGGACTATATTGTTTCTTTAAAAATAAACAATGTATTTCCTTAAGAATTAAGATACGTTATATAAAAAAAATAAAGCAAACAAAACATGAACTTTGGCTTACAAACTAACAATATAAGAATAATTAGATACTATGGGAAATAATATGGTCCTGAAGGGCAAAATTAAAACAATCAACCTTGATAACCAAAAGGAAAAAAATACCAAAAAAACAAACCATAAATGAAAATGGGCCACACAACAGAAATAATTTATATTAATAAAAATCAAAGTGGATACAAATCTGATTTGACTGGCTTTCAGCTGGATTTTTTCTTTTTCTTTTTCTTCCAATGCCTAGGCTAGACTGAACTATCCGTCCTCGCTTTCCTGCCTCTACCATGGAGGGGAGAGCCTGGACATAGTTTGTTGTTATACGTTTTAGTCCACACCCCGCGGCCCACCTTATTTTAATTGTACATACTGTATGGATGAAGTTGTGTGAATGTATTTATTAGTATGCAAGTATTTATTTGTGTGAAAGGTTCATTTTAACTTTATTTTTGGTTACATTTTAAGAGAGGGCTCCGGTGGAATGTCCCTCGGGCCTGCCAACCTAGGTTAGTACATTTTATTGGTGTGTATGGTGATTTTATTGTAAAAATTGGATTTGGGCACTTCGCCACATGGGAGGGTCAGCACTGGGCCACCAAGCATCCGAATGCCCCTCCACTACAAGAAGAGGGAGTCGATAGTGAGGTGACACATCATCAAGGATCCGAACATCCCAAACTACAAGAAGAGGGGGTTACAGTGAGGCAATATGAATTAGTCCAACGTATCCCGTCCTGTGAAAGATCGCTTGGAGAATCACTCTGACACAGATTTGCCTAGCCCAATACAAAACAATGAAAAGAAGTAAAATTCCAAAAGGAGGAAAAAGAAGAAGAAAGAAGAGGAGGGAAAAAGAGATGAAAGGAAATAATTGAGAGAGGGTGGGGGATGAGGCCATGTGAAAACTACTAACCCTCAGAGCTACAGAAGAGCGGAAGATCTGGAGGGAAATAGTGAGGCCATCCCCCCTCCTTATGCGCCTGCGTGTGGATGTGGGTGTTGCACATACGCTCGCTCGCACATGCATAAAATAGAAAGGAGAAGAAAAAGAAGGTGAAAAAAAGGGGGTAATGGGAAAAGAAAACAAAGAAAAATTAACAAATAGGGAAACACTAACCCCCACCTTTTTCTAGCATATCAGCTATGACCTTTGCCATTCTCCAACCAAAAAAAAATAAATAAAATAAAATAATAATAATAATACATATTTTTTCTTCAATTTTTGTCCTTCTTTCTCCCTTTTTATGGATTGTTTAATTTTGTTATTTCTAGGCCTTTTTCTTGAAGTTGTTTAAAAAAATTCAGTACAAATGGAACACATTTCAACATCTTGTGCCATTAAACATTAATTAATAATAATAATAATAATAAAAACAAATGTGTGGTGTTTTGGTGATTGTTAGTTAACAAATGTAAATATGCATATATATGATTATACAACAATAAGTGGAAAAAATATAATACAAAATGATAAAACTATCAACATAGTTTTAACAATTCTCTGATAGAAAAATAAGAATGGTTATGATAGAGTGAGTGCATGTATTAATTCATTAGTTTGAAAAGGATAGTTCTACTCTCAAAAGTGAGTACAGTACAATTTGTGAGTAAAACTATTCTTTTCAACTATCGAACAAATACAGAAAATATGTTATAAGTACTTAGAGAATATGTAATTGGGATTTAGAGAAATATAATTGAATCTGTTGAACTGTACATCAGCTTGGAGTTAATTTAATGTTTTATTAATGGTGTTTACTCATATATTGTTATAATCTCATTGGACTGGGCATGAGGGATTGTCATCTTATCTATCTGGGAGATTTATCAGACAAAGGCTATGATAACCTTAGTTGCTTTAGAATTGTCAGAACTGCTTAAATAAAATAGTTTCTTATGGTTACGCCATAGACTAATGTAAGATAAAAACAGAGTTTATACCAATAGTTATTTATTGGTTATTTTTACATTTTTTATAATACAAAATGGTACAATAATCAAGTACATTTGGCCATTATCTTCATGTCCCAGCTCTGTTGTTGTAGAAATTCATTATCTCTTTATCAATATCTGAATCTCCTGTTAGCTTGATATCAATGCTGCGGATATTTGGTAAACTTGCCTAGACCCCCAATAAAGAAAAAATGAGCTATAATAAATAGAAATTTTCTTATTTTTTACCTTTTGTTTTGACAATTCATGAATCATGGTGGCTGAAGAATTAGGGGAAGAACGTTGGCTAAGTTTTCCACCAGAATGGTGAGAATAAGGCAATTTTTCATCGCTGTTTTTTAATATCTCCCTTACTTCATTTTGCCATAACTGTGCACTGTGTTCTTCAGGCCTAAAATACAAGATTAAAACTAAGACTTTTGTTGAAAAAAAAAAGTTCTTACATAAATGAAACAGGCCAAGAGTAATCCTGTTGGTAAACAGACTGATATCTGTCAGACATTTTTTTGGTAGGCCCTAAACTAGAATTTATATGAAATATTTGTGTTAAAAATTTTGATGTTGTTTTTAAAACCAAGTCACCATATGATTGATTTAAAATAAACAAATGTTTCATCTCTTATCATGGTGATCTATTTTTTAATTAAATTATAGTATTCATACTGTGAGGGTTCTTCTTTAGCGGAAGCATTTTCCCCACGAGATACACTTACTTCAGCCTTGCCTGAATCAAAATTCATGACATGAGCACTTACAGTTCTTCTATTTAACACTTGGCCATCTGATATATCTTTGGAAATCCTACATGAGAATGTAGATTAAAATCAAGAATGGTGATTAATAAATTGGGCTGTTAATTGTTTTTACTTGTTGAGACTGAAACAATTTTGAGAACTTGAGGTCTCACGAATAAATCCTAAATGAATATTAGTTTTTATGTCATCACTATTCCCTTTTATCATTAGGGGTTTCTCATTTTTTCTCATAGACCAATTTGGTTGTTCTTCAGATACTGACTTAAGAATGTTTATGTTATCAGTACTTTTCCTATTTTCTTTTCAATTGAAAATGAAAATATTTTAATGTAAAACAAAGCAAATGCTTAATAAATTCTACCTGTGCCATGTTTTGTACTTGATGGCATCCTTAGGTTCTCAGACCATTTCCTTAATCTCATTAAACTTTTTGTCTTCTTAGTCTGGACTGTTTCTATTGGAAGCTGACAACCTTTTTCATCCCACCAGAGTTCAAAGCTTTTCAACAGTGACTGTTTTGCATCTCTGAACATTCTTAAGCTATCGAATCGTTCTTTACTTAGAAGCTAATAGAATTTCATAAGTCAGATTTGATCAAGTTACAAGAATACTACAACAATGTATTATATACCTCGAGTTTTTCTTTTGCCCTTTCCAACTTGCGTTTTTTATGAATATATGCAATTTCTAAAGTCTCTAATACATCAGGAAATTCACCTTTGCTCTGCGCATTTTGTAATTCTTTTTCTAACAAATCTAAACAACATAAATTAAAATGGGTAATTTGTCATTTTTCAGTTAAAGTTTTCTTACCAAGTTCTGGCATTAGAGAACTGACTTTTTTCCAAAGTTGCCATTCTGCTTCCAATTGGGAGAAATACGATATATGCATTTCAGCATACAAATACAATGCTCTGTTGGATTTTTTCAGGTGTAAAAACGTTGTAAATGCCTCACGTTTTTCATCGGTATAAGGTTCACCTAAAATTCTAACTCTTAGATGGTAGATTAAATTAATCAAACATCAAGAAATTTTACCGGTGTTTGGATTTATGTGTGGTAGTGTAAGCCCCATTATGTTACTTAATTTTTCTACATCAAACATTTTTATTCTCTCTTCCTCTTGTATTGTTAATACTGAAGATACATGTCTTAAAAGAGTTGTCAGCATCACTGTAGTCTTATGATAGGATTTAAAAGAACTATGATTATAAATTATTATAAATACTAACTGTATAACATATGAAGGATACAAATTCCTCGATTGATGTGAGAAACAGTGCTTTTGAAGTCAAATGACAAACTGATCTCATTTTCTCCTTGTAATCCCTATAATAACAATGTCAAAAATTGGCAATGGATTAAGAATAATTTTTGCTCTTAATAAATATTCAGATTAATTATTATTCATCATTAATATGAAACAAGTATGTATATCAGAATTGCACAATTACATTATGTTATTGTTCAATGAATCATTATTTAAAACTAAAATTACAATGTAATCATAATTATCCTACCACACAATGATTTTGCCGAAATGGTTCAATGTGTTTAGGGGCAGGAGATTCCACTGCAACTTTTTTGTTGTTTTCACTTGATAAAACAGACATTGCTTCTGATTCATTTGGTTCCAATGGAATGTTTTTTAACACATCTTCAAGTGGAATGCTTTTCAATGCATCTTCCAGTGAAATCTTTGGCAGTTCAACATCTCTGATTGTGCTTTTTGACAGCACTTCATCTTCAAGCGGAACGTTTGGCATCGTAACATTTTCCATCTGGATGGACTCAATATTGCAGGCAATTTTACAAAATTCCTGGTCTGAAGAACAGCTAGCTTTCTCATCATATTCTTCAAAACTGTCTTCTTCATAATTATCTTCTGCTTCGGCTTTATTTTTAGTTGGATTTTCTTCATCTTCATTTAATGCTACTCCAATTTTCATCTTTCCAATAATCTTTCGTAACCTATCGACTTCAGAACGAAGAAAGACCAACTCCTCTTCTGTATCACTAGAGTAGTCAATGACCTTTTGACTATGTGTCTTGACAAGTGATACCCTTTGTGAAAAACGACAAGTAGAAAGAGTTTCCTGAAATTTACCATTCTGTGTTTTAGATATTAAATCTCAAGTAAAGGATTTAAACTGAAACCTTCTGTACATGAAAATTGTTCGGCTCTAGTGACAATGTGAATACCATAGCAGTGTGGCTATTGCCTCCGAGTGAATCCCTCAACAATGAAGTTATAGTTGAATTCCTTCAGTAGGTTCGATAAAAAAGTAATTTGAATTAATACAATAATGCACCTAAAGCAAAAAACCTGTATACCTGTATGGCACATGAAGCCGTTGTCTTTCAGATAGAGCAATTATAACTTGTTCTAGATAGTGTAGTGATAAATTGATGTGCTTTGCTTCATGGAGTAACAGCCCACTTGTATTGTTTTTCCATACACGCTCAGAACTGTTAAAATTGGAAAATAAATGTACAAACTAGTAGCACTACATTCCTGTAATAAGTAAACAGTACTTTACCCTGACAAATCAATCATGTGTAACTTTGATTTCACACATTTTCTATCTCCAGGCTTTACTCGTTGCCGTAAGTGCAATGTAAAAATACAATGAGATCTAGATGAGACTGGATTCATCGGTGTATCAGCAACAGTTCTGACAACATAAACTTTTAATACTAAAATTATAACTAAATTCATAAAAACTACAAGAAATTCCAAGATAAAGAAAATTGGGATATTTTGTGAAGCAAGTGAAAGATAAATTTCAAACTGATCTTTTAATGTTAGCCTACTATAATAAATAAAGTATAAAATAAACTTTTAAAACATAATTAATGATTCTCAGCTTTAATAAATTATTAATAATTATTTTTCATCAATCAACATTGTTAATATTCAGTTGTTAAAATGTGGCTCACCCAATAAATAATCTTAAGTATTTTTATATTAGGTATAGTTCGGCAGATGCATTTTGTCATTTATCCACCTTCAGAGGTTGGGTTTTGATGCTAGTTCACATCATTTTTATAGGCTCTATAAAAGCCTGATATTTGATGACTGGTAGAGACCAACCACTGAAGGTGGTAAAATGTCGAAACACATCTGATATACAAAACCAGGTGATTGCATTGATGGGAGATGATCAAGCTGCAATAACTCATTTTGAAACATATTTTTTAACCGATGAATACTCAGTCTACCTTTAAGAATTCTACTTTTTTTTACTTATTAAATTTTGTCTAGATGGCAATTGTGCTAGTTCCTATTGTCATATTTTTCACTTTTTTTGTTTGTTTTAGAAAGCAATGTTATTATGTACTAAATAGCCCAGTTGGTTTTTTCCAAGCATACCTGTTTGTCATTCCTTTTTTTAGAAGTCGATCAACTTCTTTCATCTCAAAAACTTTATGCTCTGATAAGTTTCTCAACTTTACTGTCCCAGCTGCATCTTCCAACAACAAAACTTTTCTACAAATCGCATAGTTTATAAAGTAAATTGTCTGTAAATCCTTCAATATAGTAGGATTTAACTAACGTAAAACCCTCGTGGTTGCTCCCTTCTTCACTGAGTAAATCATAGCACAGTTCATTATAAATTTCCATGGTGGATATTGACACAGAATATTCCTTCTCAGGAGCCTAAGAAAGCCCAGTAATCTAAATCTGAATAACAAATATGATTCATTTGACTCACATTTTTTATCAGCTTAAACATTCCATTAAAAGCCCTTGGAATCATCCCTTTTGAAGAATTATCACTCCCACCAGTTATACTATGTGTTTTCCCAGTGCCTGTCTAACAGAAATGTGTATAAGAATTTGTTAAATGTTATATCAGCTTAATAAGCCTAATTTATTCTAAATTTCATTATCACCTGTCCGTAAGCGAGAATCGCTCCATTGTAACCATTGAAAACTCTGAAAGAAATCAATCATATACACCTAAATAAATCTAGTTAAATCATTGAATACCTTTCAACAACAGGTTTAGCTACAACTTCATAAAGGTCACACTGTCTTGCAGTTTCTTTGAAAACTTTTTGAAACCTAAAGCAACATTTAATAATTAATGTTACGAGAGGTGGTGTTTCACTCATTTTATACCTACAAAAATCCATATTTACATCCATCTTTATGATCAGGAATGCCATAGAGTACCAATAGATCTCTGTCTTCAGAATTTACAGATTGCTAGAATATTTAAATAGCAGTTAACATAAAATTATACTATACTGTTCAATTATGCTTGAAATGACAATCAGAAAAAATGACGTTCATTTGTCCAGGATGCTAAATTGGCGCAGTATTAAAGTTTAAGAATATTAGTGTTGCTCAGAAATAGACAAAATTTTAGCTTTCTGCATCTGATGGACATTCACACCAACCAACACCACCACCCACCTAATCAAGGCGATCTTAATGTGTTAAATAATAATTCTCCACGGGAATATTAGCATCATAAGCATGTGGTTTTAACCAAGTTTCTGTTAAAGCATTATATAAAGAAGAAAATTACTAGAAAACAAGTTTTGAAATTCCTCAAAATGACCAAGCAAAGACTGACAATTAACATAACAAATTAGTATATTGTCCATCAATAAACTTAAAATAGAACACCATACTATAGACCATCAACAATGGTGCACAGGGCACATTAAATAGAATCTCATATCGCAGAATATTTTAAAAACATAAGTGAAAAGCGAAAAATTAATTTGAATGGAATGATTGTAGCAGGTTGAATAAAATAAATAGGAAAAATATTTAAATAAGTTATAGCTAATAATAATCATAAAGGAAAGTTTACTAAAAACAATCAATTATCAAAACTTCCATAGAATATGTGATAATACAAAAGTATATTCTAATACTATTATATCTACAACTAATGATATCAATATTAATATTGGTGATAATCTTAATAAAAAATAACGGTAGTAATAATAATAATAATAATAACAATAACATTGACAGGACCATCATTTAGAAGGGATGTTGTCCTAGTGTTTATTGTAAGATCAGGTGTCCCCAGTTTTCTCACCAGAACTCATCCATTCTTGACCCAAACATATTTGATTATATTTATTTGTTTTGCAGCCCTTGAAGCTAAATAAAGTTTTTTAAAATATGGTGTGAGAGATTCATTCACGTGTGTTTAAGCCGGAGAGAATTTTATTCATTTTTTTAAATTTTGTTTATTTGTTCAAATATCCATGGAGACGAAAAACAAAAAAAGAGTCTCGGGGTCCAGCTGGCCAGTTAGTATTGGAGAGTGGATGAACGTGTTTGTCTAATTCTTTTTGATCTCGATTTGTAATTGAAGTTACAATTTACGAGTACCCCGCCGGATTACAAAGTTATTTGTTTTCTCTTCGCCCGCTCATCGTTGTGGAATCACGTCGCCTGCAATTCTTCATCCCACATCATTTGCTGTTCACAGGTCAGATTTTTCCTTTCGGCTGCTCACGTCTTCTAATAAGACTTTAATTTGAAGTGTTTGTTCTCATAATTGTTAAGTACTGTGAAAAACATTTAAAACCAAGTTTCTTGTATAGTTTGATTAATTTTCTGTAATAAGACTGTCACTATTCTTTAATCTATTGACCCTGGCCAGGTCACTTTGTTGTTCAACTTATGTAAATTAAATTAACTTTATTGCCCAATGTATGTATATCATATTAATTTAATTTAGTTTAATCTATATTTCTTCATATCGCATCCTGATTCTGTCAGGGAGTCAACGTGAAGGGACAGGTTCCGGCGAACTAGCAAAGGTAAGGAGTGTTGCTGCCAATTAAGGATAGCCCCTTCTTCCAACACATTTTGGTCCTCCGGGCCGGATCTCTGATCTTCCTTGTCTCCTCACGCTTCTCAAGATATTTCTACTTTTCTCCCGTTGGCTTTTACGCAAGCTAGCCTCAACATAAGTTCTGATTTTCATTGATTTTGACGCTGTTTTACAACCAACATGCCTAAAAGATCGGATGATCAAGATGCGGATATCGAAAGCATGAAGGACGAAATCTCCGAACTTGCCGAGGATATTCACCGAACATTGAACATCGGAAAGAGCTCGAAGGAAAACACCGATGAATTACCGATTTTCGAAGCCCGTGTTTTCCAACTGAATAGCACATTTGAGAAGTTTGTTTCATTGTTCGCTGAAATACGGAAACAGATGAGAAAGGATAAAATGCCTTATGATGAATTCACGAAATTGAAGGCTAAGGTGCAAACTGAGTACTATGAAACCCTAGCCTTGTCAATAAAGAGAGATAGTCCGTCGCGCAACACGACTTTGTGTTCCAATCAGTCCGCAGGACATTTGGTCCATCTGAAACTGCCCAGCCTGGATCTGCCTACCTTTGACGGTGATTTGTCAAAATGGACTCCTTTTAAGGATACGTATGTGTTGTTAATACATACGAATGTAGAGTTAATGGAGGTGCAAAAATGTCATTATTTGAAATCCTGTCTGAAGGGATCCGCGGCTCAAGTTATTTCCACTATCGAAATATCTGAGGCTAATTATACACAAGCTTGGGAGGCTTACACGAATTCTTACAAGCCGTCGCGCGTTGGGAATCCAGAATCTTTGCCGCAGTAACGCTAGTAATAGTTGAGGCCCAGTGTGAGAGTAGACCCTATGAAGATGGTCGATCAACAGCGTGGAGAGGTGGGATTTGTTGGGCAGTAGTATTGGATGCTTCATTTCTTCACTCACAGGGGCATTAGCTAAGCGTCCGCCCACCTTGAGAATACCCAGAGAATCTACAAAGGGATTTAGAGATTTTAATTCTGTCGAATTTTTCCGAAAGTGATACTGCTGCACGGATCTCGTCAATACGTGAAGGGTTTCGTTGATGTCTCTTAATGTCAAGAAGCCAGAGGTCCGTTGCTTTGTTTCAGCTCGCAAATTCGCAATGAAACGACGCATGTAGGCAACAACTCTAAGCATCCGTGAGTACGACGAAAATCGCTCCAGTAAGGTCTCAATCGTGCCTACCTCATTGGCGGTCAACAGAATAGTTTGAGGCTTAATTTCCGGTAAGTCAGGACCACTTTCCAGCCAAGTATTCAGAGGCCACTCTTCTTTCGGTTGTTTCATCCAATCTGGACCTGTCCACCATGACATCTGACTTGTAAAATTACCCGGATCTGTTCCGCGCGACGCCAAATCTGCCGCATTGTCCTCCAATCGTGCGTGAAACCACCAGTCGAGCGATGAGTTCTCCAATATCTTCGCGACTCTATTGGCAACGAATGTCTTTAAGCGATGCAAAGGATACTGAAGCCATGCCAGAACAGTGGATGAATCAGTGAGTAAAATGATTTCGTCTACTTTTATGTCTTTGAAGAAGTCAGTCAGGGATTTCACGGCATTCACCAGCAGCAATGCGGCGCAGAGTTCCAGTCGCGGGATGGTAAGCGGCTTCAGCGGAGCCAGGCGGGTTTTTGCAAACAGCACGATTCGCAGTGGCGTCCTTAAAGGGGGCATCAACGCGAAGGTACAAGACTGCCGCATATCCCAAAGACGAGGCGTCAGCAAATCCGATAATGGTGGTATGTGTACGATTCGTTGGAACTATGCATCGTGGCACATTTATGGAACTCAAGGTTGGCAGATCCTTGCAAAATTGTGTCCACTCTATACCAACCTGCACCGGAACCTGCTCATCCCAACCAACCTCATGTTCCCAAAGGTGCTGTAATATCCTTTTTGCTTTGAATATTATTGGTGCCATGAGTCCAAGGGGATCGTACATCCTCGCGATGGTCGACATGATTCCTCTTTTCGTCAGTATGGGTTCTCTCGTTTGGATTCGGTAAGACAGGCAATTGTTCTTCGGTTCCCACTGCATTCCCAAAACCTTAACAGTCGTATCTTCTAAGTTGGATAACGGAACAGATGGCATAGATGAATGAGCCGTTGCATCACCCAGCAGATCAGGTGCGTTGCTGTACCATTGCTTTAAGGTGAAGCCTCCTTTCCGCAGCAGAAGGATCAGTTCCTGCTGAAGCATTCGGGCTTCTTCAATCGTATCCGATCCTGTTAATATGTCATCGACATAGGTATGCTTCAATAATGCCTTTGTTGCCAAAGGAAAACAATCACCTTCATCCTTTATTAGTTGCCTTAACACGCGGAGAGCGAGGAAGGGTGAACAGGACAGGCCAAACGATAATCGATGAAATTCGTATTCCTGAATGGCTTCAGCAGGATCGAACCTATAAAAGAGGTGCTGGAATCTCCGATCTTCGTCCGCGATAAGGATTTGTAAATACATTTGAGTGATGTCTGACGTCATAGCGAATTTGTGGATACGAAATGTCATCAGAACGTCCTTTATTTCTTTTTGCAATTTTGGCCCTGTCATTAGTTGGTCATTTAGTGAGCCGTTGGATGTCGCGTGGGATGCGTCGAAAACGATGCGTAGTTTCGTCGTCGAACCATCCTTTAACACGCCACGATGAGGAAGAAAGTAGAGACCGTCACGGCAGGCAGCAGACACAAAGCCCTGTTTTATGTAATCATGGAACACCCGATTGTATTCTGTCTTTAGATCTGCATCCCGTAAAAGGCGCTGTTCCAATTTATGAAATCGGTTGCGTGCACTTTGTTTGGAATCGACCAGGCTAGCAGGCGTGGATCGGAAAGGTAGCCTGACGACGTATCTGCCGTTCTCCTGTCGCGAATGCGTTTTGACAAAATGCTCCTCACAGCGATCGTCTGATGGGTCATCTCTAGGGACATCCATAATTTCTTCTACGCTCCAGAAGCGGGACATCAACGTCTGCATATCATCATTTTCGGATCGGGCGGTTACAAGTAATGAAGCCTGTTTCAGAGAATATGGAAGGTTGACCCTTCCAAGCATGACCCAGCCGAACACTGTCTTAAGTCCATTTGGGAGTCCTTCGGATAACTTTCTGACATCTCCCAAGAGAATGTCAGCAAAGAGATCAGCTCCCAACAAGAAATCAATAGGTCCAGCCTTACAGAAATAAGGGTCGGCCAGTTCGAGCTCTTTCAGGTGCGTCAACCACTGATCCGGAAGATTACACGAAGGCATATCTCCACAGATCTTATCGATCACGATCGCGGTGATACGTAGGCGGGGTGGTGGGGACGCTCGTGGGAATAGTACGCATGACACTTCGAAATTTCCTCCTTTTATAGCATTGGTTCCAAACCCGACTAGATTATGGATATTCGGTTTAGTCGGAAGTGACAGACGACGTGCGCATTCTTCCGTTATAAACGAACGCTGAGATCCGCTGTCGATGATAAGTCGAATAGAATGGAGACTGCCATCTCGTCCTTGTATTCTGGCTTGTACTGTACCTAGAAGAACATCACTGCCTTCTCTTGTTGATGCGGACAAAACAGCCTGTTTAGACTCGATGTTGAAGACACTTCCAGGTCCTCGATCTGTTGTCGATGCTTTTGTAGGAGAGCGTTCTTGCATATGCGGGTTTTCATCGGACATGTCTGCAGAGACTCCAAGAGACTTGATGCCGTTGCTCGAGCAAGGTGTGGTGACGGTCGTTGCAACGTTGACAGGATCGCTTGGTGGGGCAGGCTCGGCTAGAGTGGCCAGAGGATAAGCAATTAAAGCAGCGATTTAAATGCTTGATCCGTTCCCAGCGCTTCTTCGGACTCCATGAGCGCAGAATTGAACAGTCATATATCCGATGTTCTTCCTGACATATCGGACATTTCAGTTGGTGAGAAGGCCCGTTAGTTGACATAAATACGTGTTTTGCTAACTTCGGGTATTTGATTTCTGTCCCAGAAATGGCGGAGGAACTAGAGGTAAGGGCGTTCGACTGTAGGTTCAATATCTGCCTCTGAATAAAATCGGTGAAATCAGAGAAGGTCGGGGGTTTTTCCCTTCCACCAAACTCATTTCAAATTTTTCCCGCGTTTTGGAGTCTAAGAGACGCAAGGCGAAAGTATACAGCACAAATCCGACACTATCCGGAAGTTGCATTTTCCGGAATGCGTTACAATTTTCCAAAACAATCGCGGAAAAGTTTTCTAAAGTTTCGCACGTTAGTTTCGTCATGGGTTTGAAGTTGAAAAGGTGGGTCAAATGATTCATTGCCCTAATGCGATTGCTATCGTATCTTTTCACAAGGGCCTCCCAAGCTTGTGTATAATTAGCCTCAGATATTTCGATAGTGGAAATAACTTGAGCCGCGGATCCCTTCAGACAGGATTTCAAATAATGACATTTTTGCACCTCCATTAACTCTACATTCGTATGTATTAACAACACATACGTATCCTTAAAAGGAGTCCATTTTGACAAATCACCGTCAAAGGTAGGCAGATCCAGGCTGGGCAGTTTCAGATGGACCAAATGTCCTGCGGACTGATTGGAACACAAAGTCGTGTTGCGCGACGGACTATCTCTCTTTATTGACAAAGCCAGGGTTTCATAGTACTCAGTTTGCACCTTAGCCTTCAATTTCGTGAATTCATCATAAGGCATTTTATCCTTTCTCATCTGTTTCCGTATTTCAGCGAACAATGAAACAAACTTCTCAAATGTGCTATTCAGTTGGAAAACACGGGCTTCGAAAATCGGTAATTCATCGGTGTTTTCCTTCGAGCTCTTTCCGATGTTCAATGTTCGGTGAATATCCTCGGCAAGTTCGGAGATTTCGTCCTTCATGCTTTCGATATCCGCATCTTGATCATCCGATCTTTTAGGCATGTTGGTTGTAAAACAGCGTCAAAATCAATGAAAATCAGAACTTATGTTGAGGCTAGCTTGCGTAAAAGCCAACGGGAGAAAAGTAGAAATATCTTGAGAAGCGTGAGGAGACAAGGAAGATCAGAGATCCGGCCCGGAGGACCAAAATGTGTTGGAAGAAGGGGCTATCCTTAATTGGCAGCAACACTCCTTACTTTTGCTAGTTCGCCGGTAAGGAGTGTTGCTGCCAATTAAGGATAGCCCCTTCTTCCAACACACACGTGTATTAGGTACTTTTCCTGTAAGTTACATCCTATGTGAGAAGTAAAGGTATTGTTTCACCTTCTGTTTGGTTATTAAGTTGCCCTTTGTCTGTTGCCTAAAGAAGGAAGCCCCAATAGGAAGGTTGGTTGAATGTGGTAGGACTAACCTTCACTCAGTACACAATGTCCTCATTCGATACATCAACATCTGAAGCTTGCCCCACTTTGTTGAGTAAATCAATAGTATTTTCTCCCGGAAATACTGGCAGGTTGTGTGTACTGTTTTGAAAAGCCTGCCGCATCTGCTCAACAGTTAGATGTTACTCAGCTACTTGGCCCTCTGATGCTTTCTTCTTGGCTGTTTCAACTTCCATCAGTAAGTAATCTATATTGGTTTGAAGGCCATTAACTGTCGAAGTGTTCTCTTTTATCGACATATGGCAGTCGTCGAGCGATTTAATAATACCTTAATTTTGAGCTTTTTAACAGCATTGGCATTGGTAATGGCATCAATGTTAGCTTGTGACACCTTTAAAATTTGCTGTAGAGAATATTAACCCAAAGAAGAGTCAAGACCAGCAGACCAGCCCCAGAGATAGTTGAAGCAAAGTGAGTAGAAAGAGGGAGAGATAGGGAGTGGGAGATAGATAGAGATATGAGAGGGAGGGAGAGAGAGAGAGAGAGAGAGAGAGAGATTTTGAAGAATTATACATAAATCACTACTTACCTTCTGTACATCATAATGATGACTAATGTTCATTAGCGATGGTCTAACTCTGGCATACACTTTTATCGCACTTTTCTTCGTGTGTTTCATACGTTTTTATTTATTTATTATTATTTTTATAAGAGTTTGAACCTTGTTAACTAAATGAGCAGAACTGAACAGTGAATACTCAAAACCAAAGTAATTATTTTTCAGGCACAGCAAAACCTGTAATGTGAAGTAACAAATAACAAACCAGAAAAAAAATAAAAGGAATTATTACCAAACCATATGAAAAGCTTTTATTTATCCAATTAAATGCACTTTTTTTTATTAATTTAAATAAAAATGTTACTATAATATACTCTATTAACTTGTATCATCTTTTTGCTGACTTTATTATATGTCATATCATTCAACACACAGTGCAGTACAGTATATTGTAATGATTTTAATAATATTTAAAAAAAATTGTATTATGCTTCTATTTAAATTGATAATCTGTTTATCTGTGCAAACAGCCAACCATGTTTTTGCAAGATTTTATGAAATATCCTATTTTTGTTTCAAATACAGCTCAACAAAAGAAAAATAAACCATATGTATTAAATTAAAAATTATTTAAACTTTGTTTGAATTAATGTTGTAAAATTGGTGTCATTTTTATAGTTTTTCTACTTAATTTGGTACATATTTAGAAATAGCTTTAAACAATAAAATTCCATGTATGTCTTTAATGTTGTATTTGCTAAATGAGAAGATAAGGTTATAGGTCTAATGAATAGAACAGAGTATAGACATTTTTTTTCTATAATAAAAAATGATCTTAAAACTTTTTTTCAATTCGCTATTACATTTTATAATAAATCTATTTACTTAACTTTTGTACACTAATCAATTTGTTCTGCTATTAGAAAAAGTTAAATACCTATAACTTGAAGCATTTCTCAATTTCATAAATCTGTTAACTTTTCCTTATTTATCTTCAGACTAAAAACAAGTAAGTAGAAGAAAAATAAATGAATTAAATAGTGGTAACTTTTAAAATGTCACCAAAATTGCATGTAACAATCTAGATCAACAGATCAGAATTCAACATTTTCAATTTAGAATACAGCTTATTTCTATAATTTTCTTTCTAATAAACATATACATACATTTAAAATATAAATATGTTGAAACATGTACAAATAATTTACACATCTTCAAATTTTAAAAAATATCAATAGAAAAAATATATTAGTAAAAAAGAAATGTCATTAATTAAATATACTTGTTTGTAAAGTCTCCTTTTTGCACCATCAACCACATTCCCTAGCTTCAATTTAAGAAACAGATTGCTTTGAGCTTTTAATTTGCATCTATTAGAAGGCCTTTTATGTACTTTTTTTTTACTACAAAGGCACATTTCTTTGTTTTGTATTTTTTAAGTAAAACAACATGAAATGTTGAAACAAATCTATTTGTATGTGAGTGTTTATTCCACACACAGATATATGACATATATTTTTTCAAATTTTAATAACCTGTGATTCTACTTTTGTTAATAAATTTTGTATATATTTGAATGTTTTATCTAACAATGCACTAAGGGTTTCGTTAAAGTTATTAGGACTATATTTAATTTATATTAGACAAATTCTAATGGCTTCCTGATGTTAAAATGGATTTTATTTTAGTTTAAAAAAATCATTTGAGATATTTTGTTTAAATTTAAATACACATGTAATGTCACAAATTTTCTCAAATTCAAACTAAATGTTTGAACACTTTGCTGAATGTTTTACCTGATTGTAAATAAAAATATTTAAACTATTTTAATGGAAACAAATATATTTTACAACAAATTTTTGGTAAATTACTTTAAATAATTATATGAATTGTTACATGAACAGCAGAAAACATTTAAGTTTAAAAAAGTTTTGTCATAACTTCAACATTATTCTTATATTGATTACATCTATAGTCTTAAGATAGGATAGTGAAAGAAACACATTTGTTTCTACTGTTTACTTTTTTATACTAAATTATAACAATATTTCATTCATAGCTGTCTCATTTAAAACAATAATTAGAAAGAATGCTAATGAGAATTCTTTTATTGGGCACTATAGAATATACAATGCAAAAAGAAATAAAGTAATATTCTAACAATGAAAAATTTTCAAGGAAACTTTTAATCAATTAGGTACAATTACACCAAAGTTCAATTTATCACTAATCCCACTCATTATAAGACTAACAAAGTTTTTTTCCTATTGTAAATGCTACAAAGACTAGAACTGGAAAGAGAAAAATTAAATCAGAATGTCTCTAGATTATTGTATAGAGTAACTTTTGAGTAACCACACTTGGTGATAAATCTAATATAAAAAATAGTTTGATGAGTTTTAAAGTAATAAAGAAATATGAAAAAGAATATTTTATCACAAAATAAAGTACTGCCTAAAAGACAAACGATTACTATTTCCTTAATGTCTACAATTTTATACAAATGACAATAACAATTTTATTATAAACTAATCTATGATTCACTCAAAATTTTTCAACTATTTTTTTTTTGTAATTATTATTACTTTAAATTATCACAGATCTAGGGTTTTCCTGTTGACTTCTTTTAAACTGTTAACCCACTAATTTGCAATAAATTTCAATTTCGTTGGTTTGAGTACATCAAATAGAATTTAGAATGCGTTTTCGGACTCATGGCATTCTTATACTAACTTTTTGGTCATTGTTTTTTTAATTACTTTCCGATTTTCTTATTTACATAGATCACAAGCCTTTCTGTCAATCCCTCTATACTAAAATAATATAATATATGACTCAATATAGGAAAAAAAAGTAAATAATACAACAACTCTAAATTTGACTTCAGTTTTGGGTTTTTAAACATATGGAGGTTTAATTAACAACAAAGATAAATTACATTGAGGATATTTTTTCACAATTGAGCAATTCACTCGAAACATTATAGAAAGAAGAAACAAAGTAAAAAAAAAGAAAAAAGAAAACAGCAATTTATATCCCCTCAATGTGAGAGACGAGAGTTTATATATTATTGGAAAGTTTGCTTGGACTTCCTTTCTTCACTTTTTCTTCTGTTGTACTTTCAAAGCAAGGATGAATTAAAAGCAGTAAACCAGATAAAAATATAAATGCTCCTGCCAAGTAAAAAGAAAGGGTGTATTCTCCAGTAATGTCATACAGCCAGCCTGAAAATGCTTACAATTAGATTTATATATCCATTAGTATTTGTAAAATAAGATTTTCCTACCTGCAAGTGGTGGACCGATAAGATTTGCGACACCTTGCACCAACAGAAGAAGACCATAAGCATTAGTAAATCTTTCAAGAGTAATCAATTCCACCAATATAATTGATGTTAACGCATAATTAGCTGCAATAAATAATCCAAAAGCCCCTGAGAGGATGCAGAGAGATTCATAGTCTTCAACAAGTGGCACAAGAGCCACAACGCCACCACAGAGGAACATACAGCCCGCATATACCATGTTTGGATCTACCCATTCTTTATCTCCAGCCCAACCGAGGACAATCTATAAACAAATGAACATTAGAAAAAGTTATGTTAAAATAAAATAAAAATATTAAAAAAATTCAAGTTCTTACCTCGCCAATCATGTTAAGTATTCCAATGACACTTATTAGCATTGAAGCATCTGTCTCAGAATAACCCCTTTCTTGTGCATTGTGGGCAAGGTAAACATAAGGTACATCATACCATGTATAAAGTAAGAAATTAGATATCGCAAAACATAAAAATCTGATATTTGTGAAAAAAGAGAGATCCAACATATCGGCCAAGAGGTAACAAAGATCAGATAATCCTGAGTACCACTGTAACAACATTTACAGATTATTAATCATATAGAGCAACAATTTATTACTACAAAAAACATGAATAACAGAAAGCACAATATGAATACAATACATTTACCTCAACTTTTTCTTTAGCAATTGTAGTCATCGAATTTCTATATATGTCAGGGCAAGAGGAAGCCCTCAGCCTGTATCTGTTAATGTTTAACATGGCTCCTCTATAAGTGAGTGAGTGTCTGGTGGGAAAAAATCAGTTTACTAACGTAACAATACAATACTGGTTATGGGTTCAAAATCAGGCATAACCCTTGAACTTTTGTTCGGCTTATTGCAGTGTTTACTATTTGAACTTAATATATTTAATATTTATTGTAATATGGTCTGATTCCTTGTCCACAACACGGAATATGGTTTGTTAGATATAAAGCTCTCCTCTTTACCAGGAAATACTTTACTATATTATATACTCAAAAATACTTTTATTTTGTTGTTTATTTTAAACTATATGTACTTTTATCATTATATTAACTACACATATTTATTTTAATGTGTAGAGATTAGTGACCGTTAGTCGGTAGTTATTCAGATATCGTCGACCACATCTCACAATATATATTTATTTTAATGTAAAACAAATCAAACAGGATCAAAAATTCATGAGTTTTGATAAAAAATGTTTAATTAAGTTGGTTTGAAAGAAAATTCACCAAAACACTGGAAAATCATTTAGTATTGATTAAATTTTAATCTATCATTAAATGATTTTTTGGTGTCTTGGTGAATTTCCTTTCAATATGTATATATTTATTACTTTCACTTATTCAGCTATATCAAGATGGTCAAGGACTCTCAGCTTCCCAAACTTTTTAACCCCTTTCACAAAACAAAATCCACGGTGGATCCTCTCATTCTAATATTTAAAATTAGATGCTTATAGAAAGTAGTAAATTAATTTTTTTTAAATTATCCATTAGGTGATGGATATATTGTATGTATCGCTTTCTTGGATGTGTAGGTGATGGAGAAACTGCATGCTTCCTCAGACATCCTGGCTTCAGCCACCCTTATGGGAGTAAATAACTGAAAATGACACAAACAGGTAGTGCACTCGTGAGAGAAGTTGGAGCTGGTATCACATTTTCGAGATCCCATGGCCTTATATAACATTTAATTCCCGTGTTCAAGAAACAGCAGTTCCCAGTAATGAAGGATCCCAGTATCAACAATAAAATTCTTAAGAAACTGATTGTCAGTGTAGTACTCACTTACCTTCATCCACCTCACATACCTTACTCTATCTATTTTGCTTATGTGCGCAAAAATAAATGTAGAATGACTAAATAAAATAAAAAAATTCATTTTCATTGGTATTAGTTTTTTTAATAGTATTTATTCATTCTACATTCATTTTGGTTAATATTAATTTTTCTTTAAGTTTGCTATGGATCCCCTAGTAGTTAGGGTTGTTGTACCCCTAAGGGGTTTGGGAAGCCTCATTGAATGTGTCTTCATAACACATAAAATTAATGTAAACTCATTTTTAATTTAACTTTTACTCCATGATGACTTTATTTTTATTGGATTAAGGCAGTAGCCACCTGTGAACTCTGAGATCTTTTAGATAAGAAGCAGTAGGAAGACTTCTATTTGTATTAGGCGGAGGTTTAATCCACCATTGCTCTATACAAGGACTGGTCACCATTGTTTCTGGTGTCTGCTGAAGGAATTTAGCAGAAAGCTGTCTTTCTTTGCCGCCATATACTTCCAAAGTTTTACCGTTCTGGCACTAAAACCAATTGAACAAATTTTTAACTCTGTGGATTGTCATTTTTGTTATTAACTTACAATTTCATGCAACCTTGCAGAATCAGAGAGACTCCTAGAGGATATCAAAAGGCTTGGGTAGTTATGAAGGAGAACATGATAGAGGTGCTTATGTGCAGTGAGCATTTCTAAGACTTCTAGTGGTACTTTCTCACCATTCCTTACAAATGTCGGTAAATTGACTAATGACGAACATAAACGGTTTGCTGCTTCAGTGTCATGTTCTATGAGAATGGATTCTGATGCCTCAACAGTGTAATCTGTAATAAAAGAATATTATTTGGAGTTGTTATAAATAGTTAGACATAAATTTAAACACTAAAAGTTCTAAACACTCAAAGTTTACGGTAGCTTTTTATTTTTTCTTATGTTCCCATTATTACTACAAACATGCAATGTCTGCTTTGGTTTTTGTTCCCATAAAGTACCTCATTAATTTAATTAATTTTATTCACTAATAAAACTGGATATTCAATAAAATACAATAAGTTTTGCAGAACTAATAAATTATCTGGCAGGGTTTATTATTGTACCATCATCGATTAAACTAATAAAGTTTGATGGCTTAATAAAGTTGACAAGGGCTGCAAGACAACTCATCTCCGTAGTCTTGAATTTAAACTCAAAGTATGCACTTACAAATGTTTTAATAATAATCAAGTAATAATAACTAGATATTTAATTAATACACAAATTTTTACAAATGTACTACTATAAAAATGTAATTAAGTTGTAGAAAAATAAAACATACTTGGCTTTTGCAGAAGTCTTTTTAACTCATCCACACTTGGACAAGAAGTGGGTGTGTGTGGTTGCATGCTTCCGGTGGCGGAATAGGTTTCTACACTCGAGGCAGGTGCTGTTTTTGTTTCCTTCTTCAGTCTTTCTTTCTTCTTTTTTTCTCTCAGATCTCTTCGTTTTGCCTTGGTCCATTCAAGGTCTCGCATGAGCATTCCACAGACGCAGAGTTTTAGAAAAAGCCCAGCGAGGATGAGTGTCGTCCCCTGCCAACCGTACTCTGACAGCAAAGCCTGAGTAACGGGGGCAAATATGAACGTGCCTATCCCACTGCCACAAACTGAAAGTCCTGTTGCGAATGAACGTCTTGCATCGAAATAATAAGCAACTATAACGACTGCAGCTACATAGCAAAGAGAAAGACCAAAACCGGCTAATACTCCAAATGTAAAGAAAAGGAGTTCTATTGAATTTGAAAAAGCTGATATTACAAAACCAGTTGCTGCCAAGAGCCCTCCGGCTACACAGCATTTTCTACACCCATACCTACAAAATATATGCATTAGTTAAAGTAAGCACCTGTCAAAACAGTTGTAAATAAATGATTAATAATACCTGTCAGTGAGAAAAGAGGCAATTGGCCCTGAGAGGAGGGGTATCGCCATAAAAAGTGATCCGATCCATGCAGTCTTACTTTTACCTTCCTCGAAATACCTAAGAAATTCTACGAATATTACTCCAAAACTAAAGGTGATCCCATCTGCGATTAGGTTGACAAAAAAAGAGGCAGCAACGACAACCCAACCCCAGCCTCCATCTGGGGCCCTGGCTTCTGAAAAACCCCCCAGAGACGATTCTGATGAAGTGCTCGATGAGGAAGGCAAAGCTGAGGATCTGGACAGACTGTCCTTTCCATCGTTATCACTCCCTTGAAGAAGTGAAATGCATAAAAAAAACTTCAGAATGGCAATGTAATACTTAGGAATGCTCACTAGTGAACTGCACATGAAGTGGCTTGCCGTTTGCTACTCTTTGCTCCCGGGGTAGTGGAGGTTGTGGTTTGAGACCAAGGGTGACTTCCCCATTTGTTGGTGATACGACGATACTTCCTCGTCTGCTGGCCAGGACGAGCGACTGTGCAGAGCCACTCAATCTTAAGCCTCGTACGTAAGGAGGGACAGTCTTCTGCTCGCCAGACTCGACGGTCGCCGCATCGTCTCCCATCCCCTAGTCCACCCACCGCTGCTCCTGGCGACGGCTGATGACTCCTCAATTCTCCAACTCCCCAACATCCGAATCACTTCACTCCCTCCTCCAAGCCTCCCCATGAAGCACACCCACTATCTCTGCAAAATGCAAAAATATTAATACAACATACAAATATCAAGTTTCTCATTATTTTTACACAGAAATGTTACTATATTTTAAGTTGAGCAAGTACATTTTTGTGGAAATATCGCATTATTAATATTTGTATGTAAAAAAATCAGATATTGTAAAACAGAAACCAAAATTACATTTATTCTGGCTCAAATTAATCATAATCATAATAAGTAACATTTTTTATTTAATCAAATTGTTTTCAGTAGAGAAAAATCAGTTACTACACATACAAATAAAAGATAGTCCTGACAAAAGTTAGAAAAACGTAAGCGTAAGGATTGTAATAAACAATACAAAATGCAAACAAAATGGTAAACTTAATAAGATGTTTAAACATGAAATTGACATCAGATGCAAAAATGATAAAATCATCTCATATAAAATTTAGTTATCATGTTAGAAACATAAAACATCCAATTGTTAGAAGTAGTGCACAACTTTTCTGAGAGAAATCTAATACTCTTTGTATATAATAATCTGTTACTAAGTTTAAAAAAACTGATTTGTTATTATTATAATAAAATTTAAAAGGAAACAAAAAATTGTAATAATGTATTTTTCTAAAATGTAAAATTGTGGGCACAAAATTAAAACATTAAAAAAATTGTTTGTAGCCCTAATATTGCTACCTAAATATAAAGCTTTGACAAAAATGTCTAGTTTCAGGTTTTGTCTATTTCCTCAAATATTGTGAGCTCACTGTAAGTCATTCCAACTCCAGACTCCAGTCCACTGGCATTAGTCAATTCAGAAATTCATTCCAGCCATAAAAATACAATTTTTTTCCCTTTTCCATGGATGAAATTGCACATTAGGGGCAATTAAATTATTTACCTAAATTATGTGTTTATTGTGTTGTTTAGAAAAAATGAGAAATGGTTGGATGATATCGAATTATTTGTGGTACATTTTATATAGAGATTAATTGAACAATAACGATGGTGATTTCTTATTTTTATTGCTGTTGAGGATGGTCCATTGATACGCACATAAACCTGAATCATACAAAACCTCAATAAATACAAATTATCTCTGTTCACGAGCTTGCAGACCTTCGAATCCTGGTAAAGCGAAACATAATTTTCATTTGTTTTTCATTCATTGTTCATTCATCACTTTCCCACAGAGATAGACATGTGTAGGCAATATTCTTAGAAACTGTGTAAGCATTATAAAACTGTATTTTCTCCCTCTCCAGATTAATCTTGTTACAACGAGACATCAAATAATTATTTTTCATTTCTATTTTCATAGGTAGCAATAGAAGAACATCTCAACTCTTGTATACAACTAATTTAATGAAAGTTCAACTCTAATATACAATTAATTCAATGAAAGTTGTTTTTAAACATTTTCAAAGAATATCGGATTGTCTGTTTTCACAGTTAATTAGATTTGAGAGGCCTCCAAAACTTAATGAAGAATCTACAAGGATCTGTAGACATGGTGAATCCTGTGCACTCCTGTAAGTCAACGTTCTTATTTATTGCAAACAAAAAACAACTGGATGCACCAAATACATAATTACTGTTACTCTAACTCATCAATTTATCAATTCGAACTAATTCAATTTCAAACAAATCTACATAAATAACTTTAGAAACAGAATATAAAAGCAATGGCGACATCAAAATTCAAAAGAGAATGCCTTGAAATGGTACCATAATTACCAGGTGAACCAGCAATTTTTAGATATATTGCAAACCCTAGTACATAAAATACATTTGTTGATAATAATAGGCCCAATTGTTTCCAAATCGAGTATGAGTTATGAAGCATTAGAATCTTCTGGAGAAATGCAAATAAACTGTCGGCCAAGAAAGCCTTCTGCCTACTCTGTAAAAAAGACAATTTTCATTACATATCAAAATTACACAATTAACGCAACAATTGAACAAATTACCATTTAATTTTTTACAGAAAACACAAAACGAAAGAATCTTCAAATTGCTCATTCAAATTAATTTTAATTTTTTTTTTTTTTCAACTAAGCACCCAGAATATAATGGAACTTTGTAAAGGAAAGTACACTTGTAGAACATATACCTATTTTCAGCAGTCAAGGTTAGTTTAAATCAGAGTCTAAAAAGTAAAAACACAAAAGTAAAATACACAATTTTAGCATAGAACATAACGAAACAAACAAAACATGTCATAAAACGCACCCCATTCGAAATTGTTTATTAATTTATAACTACATTGAAAACCATAAAGAACGAACCTAACTGCTGAACAATAAAATTAAAGAAGTCTTAAATGAAAATAAAGAAAATTTTCAAAAACGAATGTGCCAACAGAGAAATGCTACCTGACATTTCGGGAAAGGTCGATGTTCAAAATAAACAAAAACAAAGAAATGACACATAAACTACAAACCAGAATGTTTATAGAAGATAAAATTAATCATTTACTTGCTCACTCAACAGGCAGAAATGAAAGAGGTCTTATTAATGGGATTGCCAGCATAACGAAAGTTATAACTGGAATTCTCGATAACTCTGATGGATTTAATAGTGTATGGGCACATGGATAGTGTAAAATCCAGTGTGAGTAACTGAGGAGTCAGTTAAATTTAATGTACTCCTTAAATAAAAAAATAAAAAAAATAATTTCAACAAAACTATTAAACCCCTTCGGATAAATGGTGAGGAGTTGGAAGTAAAAATAAATGACATAAATAAATCATCATAAAAATTGGTATATATGTCAGACAAAATATAGCAATTTTTGAAATCAACGACACCATTGCATCAATTAAATTACATCACATACTCTTGGACACTAGAGGAAATTGAATAGTCAGATGTCTTTTATAAACTTGGGGCTATTTATCCTTTCATCATTAGCGTACATGAACGTTTTCAGAATTAAAGAATTATTATGGAAATGAAATGTGCCTAGATTTTCGTATTAATAATACCCTTAATTATGGAAATATGTTGAAAATATAGGTAGAGTTATAGTGGATCAAAAAGTCTATTTCACGCAATTTCCAATTTGAACTATTTGCATCATTTTGAACTATTAAACATGAATAAATTTGTTACTATTAAAGTTGTTATTATTAATTGTTACAATTACTATTATTAAATACTACTATCGAAACCCGCGACCGCGGGATCTACGAGTCGAGAGTCTCTCACGCTAACCACTCGGCAACCGCGGCCCCCTTCTTATATATACAATACGAATACTTCTTATATATACAAATCAAAAAATAACAAAATATCTCTTTATATAATATTAAAACGTTTTGGCTGAAGTGTAAGGAAGAGAAGAACATACGACTTTAATGGTGTAGAAAAATAAAAAGATAAGGGGGAGGATAAACGCAACGTTTTAACAGAATGTTCCACTTCTCACAGTTTAAACTTGAAAGCATGTCATATTACACATCGTTGGAAAGAGGAACGTTCTACGAAATAAGCCTAATGTTATATTTGTAAACAATTGCTATCAGTACTTATTTTAATCCGGAAGAAAGTTACTTTTTGTTTTTTGTTCGGAATAAAATTGTGAATTGTGATTTTTTTGACGTAGTATTAAACAGATATTTAAGACCAACTGAATAAAAAAATCTATTACAATTCGCGAAGTTACGGAAGTTTTTTCTAATATGATAAAACATCGTAAGATCTCAGGAGGCAGCGGGATTGTTCGAATCGGAAAATTATATGTTCGAAATGATGAGATGCTGCTTCAGTAATGATGCCAAATAGATTGAGGCATATCTTTGTTTATTTAATAATGAGGGGAGAAGTAGATGGACCAATGCTTTGGGAACAATTTAAAGCCTAATTAAGCGAACACTCTAATTGAAGCTACTGCATTATCCGTCATTCGAGATCTGATTGAAAACGAGAAATATGGCCTTCCGAAAAGATTGTTGACTCGAAAATCTTGAAAAAATTGCGGTCGACTAAGATCTATAGATTTATTATCATAAAGTCATTTATGAACAATGGTATGCAAAAATGGATATGACGATACTAAACTGCGAAATATTAACTGGGAATGGAAAAGGAGATATTGTGCACATCCCCCTAATACATTTAGGCACCCGAGTAGATACCGAAATGCTCTTTGTTTTGAAATGGTTGCGATTTCCAGTCAGTCTGGCATTTGCTATGACCATCAATAAGTCACAAGGACAAAGTTTTAAGAAAATAGGTTTGATTATAAAATTGAAATAAAAATACACATGGTCATACCATTATATGTAGCCCTGTTGAAGAATACGACAAAATGGGCATTAAAATAGAATACAAATTAAAAGAAAAATTCATAGAAAATATTGTTTTCGACGAAACGCTGGAGCAGTGTATAAGTCATTTTATCTAGCAAGTCTGCGAAAAATATAGAGACGCAGTAGTTTTCCAGCTTTAGAAACCCCTTTTTCCGGCTGGCAACATGCTTTGTCCAGTTCATCATGACCTCCTGGACTCAAATCAAAAGTGAAACTGCGGCGCACTATTTTTACCCACCTAACACAGCTCATGTTCTCCAATATGATGCTCATAAACTATTATATATGTTATTTAGTTATTAGTATATGTTATTTAGTATTAACTATTATATATATATAAAAAACTATCGTTAACCCTAACCATCGTTAAATTTAGTTAAAAACCGCGTCACACTGAACTGGGGATGATGAAGCCCAAACAGTGTTAGCAGTACATTTCCTAGGAAAAATTGTATAGTGAGTGGTGTCTTTCGACAGGTTTTACCGGATTAAAATTGTGAAAGATTTTTCACGAGGAGTATCTTCTTTTACGTAGCATTAAACAGCTATTTAAGACCAATTGAATAAACAAAATTCGCTAAAAACGGATTACAATTCGCGAAGTGCCGAAGTTTTTTTTATCATAAGATCTCTTTCATCTCTCTTCTAATGGTGGTTTTAATACCACGAGGACATCGCCGACACAGGCGTCTATAACATGCGTTGAAACATTTTTCG